CGAGGCGAGCACTCTACCGCTGAGCCACAACCCCAGCTCCAACAAACTTCTTTCTTAATGGGCATTTGTTAGAAGCCTCCCTTGAAAACCCGAGACCCTGTTTATAAATAAAATACAAAAAAGATCTGGGGATGTGGCTCAATGGTTGAGTGTCCCTGAGTTCAATCTCAATCCCCGATACCACCCCCCCCAAAAAAAAGACAAACCAAGAATTGGCAGGTGGAGACGTACCCTGAAAGCTTTGTGTTTAGAACCCATGCAGAGCTGCTGCAAATCAGGAACCCACAGGAAAATGAGCAACAGACATGAACTGGCACTTCACAGAAAATACCCACAAATAAAAAGCAGAAAGATGTGCTATGCCAAATGATATCAGAAGCAGCAAGTTAAGATGGCAGGTTTTATTCTCCCTGCCATCTTTTGTTTAGCTCAGCTAAAGGTGGAGTCTGACGAGACCAGCTCCTGAGGGTGCATGGGAACATTGTACCCTGTGCAGAGAGGGCTAGTGAGGAAAACCACTTTGAAAAATAACGTGGCCTTGTCTCATGAACCTGAGGTATACATCTTTCCACACTTGGGTGTACATCCTCAGAAGACTAACTCGTGTGCACCACAAACCAGCACCATCGCAGCACTTCTCACAAAGCAGAAAGTGGAAACAGCCCGAACACCCTTGTCCAAAAGCACCCCCACCTCTCAGAAGTCTCAAAGAACAGGCCACTTCCATGAGATAATATGGATGGGATCTACATAGGTGATAAGTGGAAAAGCCATCGACAGAACAGACACAGTATGTATACATACATGTGCTGCTTCCATGAACCTCAAGAGCAAGAAAAACTAAATACCTTGTGCCAGCCTGTATCTCTGTGCAGCAAGGACTACACAGGACAATGACACACATGGGCGGGAGTGGAGGGACAGGGCCTGAGCTGAGGCAGCTGGAATGACCTGGTGATGTCCTGGTGAGTGCTTTTCAGGATCAGGGTCTTTGGCATGGACGTACATTGCACGGTTTTCAAAGAGGGAAACTGGAAGCTGGCAATCTGGACACTGGTCTTCTTCAACACGGCTAAGCCTAAGGACTAGAGGCCTAGAAGACAGCTTTGGGGAAAAAGCCTAACAGGGCAGGTTCGAACAAGAAACCCAGGAAACGGTGGGCAGCAACAAGACTCAACTTCCCCTCCTCTGAAGGGCCTAGAGTCCAGGAGGCCTAGGTGACCAGATGAACCCTCGGCCTCTAACTTGGGACTGCTTTCTTAAGTCTACCTGATACTGAGTCAAACAACACGTCCCCCAGCATGTGGGGTCCAGGGGAGGGAGGCAAGTTGGCTTAGCTCCAAGCTGAGTGCCCTTCTGTTGGCAGGAGTCTGTCTGGAAGAGCCCTGAACACGGGCCTCAGAGACAGTTCCCTGAGTGGCAGAAGTCATTGTCACTTCTGACGTGACAGTACATGGGGGAGGAATACTACCAACACCTTCCTCCAAGCGGGTCCAAGCGGAGCATCACCTGTATGCCCCAGTCAACCTCACCTCTCCTTGGGCTTTGCCCTACTCCTCTGGTGCTTTAGGAGGAGTGAGATACCTGCTGCCTCAGACCCAGGGCCAGTCACCATCCTCACCTGTCTTGGAAGGCTGACCCATCGGCTGATCCCCTGCCCTGCCCAGACAGCTTACAGAAAGACAAAACCAAAGAGCTCAATAAAACTTCAAATATATCCAGTGTCTCATCTATCATTAGTTTCTACCTTATTCTGATGATATTTATTGAAAAGCCCTTCCATTTTGTTTTCATGGCCCTTGACTATGGCCCCTTAATCAGATGAGAGCAAAGCTGACCTGCAGAGGTTAGGAGAGCAGGTCTGCAGCCAGGCACCTGACCTCAAGACTCCAGTCCTGCCCCAGCACTGGGGGATCTCATCCATCCTCCTTACTTCAAGTAAAGCCAGTCACTGCCACTGCAAGCTGCATACCAGCTCTGCAGTGCACTAGCAAGACGTCCATCAGCACACCTGCAGAAAGCCATGCAAGCTAAAGACGGATTCGAAACTGAGGTTCACTGCGTAACAAAGATCTAAAGCTGTTGTGATTTGGAAGTGAAGTTAGGAAGAAATCACAAAGGAACATAAAAAGGAAATCAAGGATAGTGAGAACTGGTGAACACTTTATTTTCTTAATTTGCTGCCTAGAAGTCATCGATTTTTAGAAATAGCTGGCAACAATTTTTTTTTTAGAGAGAATTTTAATATTTATTTTTTTTTTTAGTTTTCAGCAGACACAACATCTTTGTATGTGGTGCTGAGGATCGAACCCGGGCCGCACGCATGCCAGGCGAGCGCGCTACCACTTGAGCCACATCCCCAGCCCCTGGCAACAATTTTTAAAAGGCTTCTAAACACACCTGGGCCTTGCTTTTTCTATGTACATAATTCCCCTTATCAATCTGCATGCTTTTCAACCAAATATGGCTTATAGTCTAAGAATGAGCACAGCCTCAGAGTATTCAGAAATATCAATATTTATTATGCTGAAAATCATGAACACTACAAAGGGTTTCTAAAAATACATCAGAAAAATAATCATCTTATTCCATTCGCACTTTTCCTTTCTTTTAAAATTTCTAATTGTGGTTACAAACATAAAAGTTGGCACATTAACCATGGTGCACAGCTCAGGACCGTTGAATCTGTTCAACTGTTGTGCAAACTATCCTGCTGAACACGCACACCTCCTTTCCCCTACCCCCAGCCCTGGTGACCACTCCACCTTGGTCTGAGTTCTAGGCACCTCACAGGTAGACTCTTACGTGTCCCCCGTGACTGACTCATCTCACTCAGCACATCTCCAAGGTCCACCCAGGTTGTATCATGTGCTTTTCATTGCTTTTTGAGGCTAAATAATATTCCATGGTGTGCACATACATTTTGCTCATAATGCACCCCACCTACAGGGCTTGTGTTGCTTCCATATGCTGTGTACCTTTCTAACACTGCTGTCAACCTGGGTGTGCACGCTGCTCTTCTAGATCCTTCTTTCAATACCCAGAAGTGGGACTGCTGGATCATGTGCTAATACTAATTCTTCTGTACCTGAACACCATTTCCCACACTGGCTGCAATATCGTATACCGCCAACAACAGTGCCCAGGATTTCTCACATCTTTGCCAATACTTATTTTGATAGTACCCCCCTAGCAGGTGTGAGTGATGTTTCGTTGTGGTGTTGATTAGCTTTTCTCAACTAGTGATTATATTTTCATGTGCTTGTTGGTCATTTCTTATCTTGGGGAAAATGTCTACTCAAGTCCTTTGCCCATTTTTAAATTGGTTATTTTATTGTCCTTGAGTTGTAGGACTTCATACATTCCAGATGTTAACCCCTAATGACGTAGAAATAAATATTTCCTCTCATTCCATAGGTCCCATTTTCAGTGTCAGGTGTGTCCTTTGAGGTGCATAAATCTTAAGCTTGATGCGGTTCCATTTGTCTACTTTTACTTTTGCTGCCTGTATACTTGATATTATAACAAAGAAATCATTGCCAAGTCCAAAGTCATGGAGCTTTCCCTGTTCTAGAAATTATGTGGCTTTAGGTCTCTTTAGTCTTCAATATGCTTTGAGCTAATCTTCATAAATGGTGTAAGATAAAGCGTCCCTGTGGCTTTTCTTGAGGCCACACACTGGTTTATGAAGCAGGCGAAAGCCTTCGGCACAGTCACATAAACGTGCAGATGAAGTTCACAGCTCAGGAAATTGGGCCTTCCTGTGGTAATACTGCCACCCTACCGCTGCTATGCCTTTCCCTGCACTCCTCAGTTGTGGCCTCACTAGCACTGACCCCAATCAGAGGACAAAGGAAATACACATGAAAAATTGAAACACTTTCTGGAAAGTAAGGAAAAGGGCGGACAGAAGTTTGAAGAGCAGTCCACAGGAAGTAGATGGAACCCTGACGCAAGAGAGCTGGATCCCTCTCTCCCTCAGAATACGTGCAATACCGTGCGTTTCTCCAGAGGCCCCAAATCCAAAGTTTTGAAGGTGGGAAGTTTTGTTCAACTGATTTGCAAAGTCACAACTAACAGACGCTTGTGGTCTTTTCATCCCACGCAGATTTTCATGCACACCTACTGACTCATTTGATGAAGATGCTGCCCAGGTTCCATGTCCACATTACGGCTTTCCTAAAGTCTGAAAAACTTTAGGAAGTTTGTTGGAGTGTAGACACCACCTGTTCTTTTAGGGTGAGGGCTGGGCTTATGGCCACTTTCCGGGCGGTGGTTTGCTTTCTGCAGAGTAGCTGCCTTCCTCGGATAAGGCACGGTGCTTGGTCTCAACCCCTACCTATTCCTTCCTGCCTCGTGACGCTGGTGGAAACTGAGCACAGGACAGGGGTGACCTTCCGCCGGGCCGGGCGGACAGCGGCTGGGCACTCGGTCTCGGCCTCCGCACTCGGCTGGCTGCTCCGAGCCGCCTGCTCCCGCCCACCGCGCTCTGGCCTCCGTGCCCGGCCGCCCGGGGCTCCGGCCCGAGAGCGGCCGCGGACCTGCGCCCCGGAGCCTGGTCCTGGTCCTGGTCCTGGGCCTGGGCCTGGGCCCGCGCTGCACGCCGGGAGCAGCGCCCTCGCCACTCCGGGTCCCTGACTGAGCACGAGAGCCCTGGGACGGCGGCCCGCGCGGCGCGTCGGGACTTGTAGTCTCGCGACGGCGGGACTCGACGCGCCGGGGTCCTCCGACCGCGGCCCGCTCGGCACGCCCGGACTCAGGGACGCCGCCCCGCCCCGCGGGAGTGGCCCCGCGTGGCCCCGGTGTTTACCCGCGGCCGGGCGCACGCACGCGACGGCACGTCGCCCGCCGTGACGTCAGCTCGCCTCCCGGAAGCGGGCGCGCACGGAGCGGCGGGTGAAGCCGGTGCCTGAGCGGGAACCGCAGCGTCGCCGCCGCCCGCGGTGGGCGCCGCGCCCCGAGCGCCCCTGCTTTGCCGACCCCCGCCCGCCCCGGTCGCGATGGAGGTGCCGCCTGCGCCCCGCCTTCCCGCCGCGGGCGCCCCGCCGGCGGCCGTGGCCGAGGTGCGCTGCCCTGGCACCGCGCCGCTGCGCCTGCTCGAGTGGAGGGTGGCGGCGGGCGCGACTGTGCGCATCGGCTCGGTGCTGGCCGTGTGCGAGGCCGCCGCCTCGGCGCAGCCCGCCGGGCCCGCCCCGGCCCGCGCCGCTTCGGGGGGCTGCGTGCGCGCGGCGCGGGCCGAGCGCAGGCTCAGGTCGGAGCGCGCCGGCGTGGTGCGGGAGCTCTGCGCGCAGCCGGGCCAGGTGGTGGCCCCTGGGTGAGTGGGCCGGGTCGGGGAGTGGGGTCCCGGGGCCGGGCGCCGCGGGAGGAGTGGCGGGGTGGGCAGTGGCACCCGGAGGAGCTGCGCTGGGTGGGAGCTTGGAAAGGGCGACCCCAGCAGCTGCGCGCCTTGGTGAAGCTGGGGACCCACCACTTGTGACCATACTACTGGAGGCATTTTGAGTTGGAAATGAAACTTTTAGTGACCCAAAGTTGCTCCCTTTGGGGAATCTGCACGCACTTCTACTTTTCTGTAGTAGATGGACTCCACCTTTTGTAAATGAAGACAACTTGGGGGTGGCCGTGAGTACAGGACTACTCAGGCAGGTTCCAGATTTGTTATTGAAATAGAAGCTGTGGGGCGTGTGCAGGTCTTTAAACACTTGTAAACTTTGTGAAACGCGGTTGTAAAACCCGGTGGTTCTGCCTCATAGCTGAGAAAGGGACAGAGCTCAGGCTGGGTCCAGGTGACAGGATCGTCATGTATGGACTCCACGGCTTTCCAGGCTTCACAAAGGGACATGTGTCCTCTTCTCAGGTGCTTGACTGCTGAGTGTCCAGTTTATGCCTGAATTTGCCAGTGTCGTGTTCTTAGAGTGTGCTGACACACGGGCACGTGTGTGTACCTAGGCTGTTCTGATTCCAAGGAACAGAAACTGCGGGGAGTGGGCAGGCTGCTGGCCTCGCTGGGTGTGAGAGCTTCCCTCTGGAAGGACACCACCCTTCTGTTTCTGCCCACCACCGTCCTCTACCTTGGGTTGGCACCACCCTGCCTGTGTTGAATACTTTCTACTTGCTGCTCTGCACAAACAAGGATTAGGGCAGCACCATCTTTTGATCACAGACCCAGGCATTCTGCCTCATTGGCTTTCCCAACTTCACTTCCCATGTAATGGCAGCCCCAGTGTGTCTTTGGAGATGGAGCCTGGGTAACTGGACTTTGGGTCACCACCCACTCCTCCTATTGAATGCTCACAGGCAGGGATAGGAAGCCCCCAGGCAGAAAATATGCTGCTTCAAGGATGTGCCCCTTGAGTGCCTCCCACATGGCTTCCTTCAGAGGTCAGGGCTGTGAGTTTGGTGGGCACTGTGTTGGTATGTTAGGAAAGCTACCTAATGTTCACTTGGTCCCTAATTAGCATTTAGCCTCAGTCCGAGTACCAAAGGGGTAAAGTTCACTGATCCAGAAGTGGAGAGCTCTACTCATTTCATTCCATTCCTCTGATTGTACAAAAGGGGCCACTGAGGCCCAGATAATGAATCAGGCCACCCAGCTAGTTGGCCTAAGCAGTCAGCTGAGCAATTGGCCTGATGACACGTTCCAGCAGCAAGTGGCTGTTATCTTCTTTTTGAGGTTTGAGACCTTGGGGTCCTTTATAGTGGTGGTTTGTCATGAGGCTTGAGAAACTGATGAGTGGCCTCCCTTCTCAGATGATGTATCCAGGTGACACCAGAGGTGTTCCTGGACTCCTGAGAAGCCCAACTTGGTCATTCCCCACCAATCCAGGAGCAGCAGGTGGATCCTTGCTTTTAGAAAATCAAGCAGTGTCACCTTGAATTTAAAATGCTTCCTTTCCTGTTGGAATTATTTATATGCATTTGTATGTGGGGTTTTGTGAGTCCAGGGAACATCATGATGATGTGATATTCACAGCTGCGGTGGCATTCCTGTGTGCCTGCCTGTGTGCGTCAGGAGGGAGCAGTTGACATAAGCATGAGTTTAAAGCCTTGTTGTGTTTCCTCTGGCAGTTGTAATTGCCTCTCTGGAATGGGTTCCACCGCTCAGGGTTGCCTGCCTTCTTGAATTCCACAGGTGTGTTTGAGCATGGACTCAGGGCTGACTGGGACTGTCTGGCTTCACACAAAAAAATGTCTGCTGTACTTCTGTGTGACACGATTTAAAAATCACTAAATTAAGTCACTTGTTGACAGGGGTTTTGTAAAAGACACCTTGCCAGTGACTTCTTTAGTAAGGTGGCACCCCTCACGTGAGCAGCCTTCCGCTGTGTGGACTGCAGAGGCGTGACTGGCATGTGTCTGAAGAGCTGTAGGGAGAACTCTCCATAGTAAAGCATACAGCCATCTATGGTGGGTTCCCACAGCTCATGAATTTCGGCTAAGTAGTCCTTTCCCCACAATTTAATTGTACAGATTGGGTGTCACTGATCCTAAAATCTAAAGTCCAAAATGCTGCAAGATACAAAACTTTTTGAGTGCTAGCAAAATGCTCACGCAAAGTTTCAGATTTTGAATTTTCAGGTTAGGGATGTTCAGTGTGAAGTCTATTCAAATGTTCCAATCTGTGAAACACTTTTGGAGGCAGACATTTCAGGTGAAAGATGTCAGATGGATGTGTTTTTATGTGTAGCTAAGCAGAGAATGTGGTCAAATTCTATCCTAATGTTGGACGGTAATCACCTTCCTGGTCAGTAAAGAGCTAGCTGGTTTGCTCCCTCTCAGGATCCTGAGCCCCGCACTTCATTTTGAAGGATTTCCTGTTTTTCTGTCTCTGGTTTTGTGACCCACAGCAGTTCCATAGTCCAACTGATGGCTTCACACCAGGTATAGACAGAACAGTAGGGTCATCAGGGAAGAGGAGCCGGACCAAACCCATTGGTCTTTCTGTCTGATAGCCCCAGGTGTTTAACTTATACTGAGCAGGTCCCCAGATCATATGGACAGCTGTTTCATGACCGGTTTATATTGATAGCTTTCTGGAGGTGTTCTAGAAGTCTCAAGTTCTTAAGACCATGCAGGACAGAAAGCATCTGATCTGGTTTGCACTAAACGTTTGTACACAGATTTGGGTTGTTCGCCTTAGAGAACCCCTCTGATGGCTTAAGTCACATACATCTGTTCAGACAGTGCCGAGGGGATTGAGGGGGTCTTGGCCTGCCCTTGTCATCTTGTCTGCAGGGACAGGTCTGTCCTTGAGCTTGCCTTCTCTGCACAAGCCTCCCCACGCCAGTGGAACCTATGGCTCTTGTAGCAGTGGCTTCTAGCCCTGCTGGCTAATCAGAAACTTGGGTGTCAGCATGGCATTCTTGGAGGGCTGCCTGAGGAACATGTAGGTGTACAGCTGGCCAAGACCACATGTAAACTTTGCTCTTGGGGGAAGCCTGGCCCCGAACCCTTGGTCTGTGCAATGGACCGTTTTGGTTCCTCATGGAGTTGCTGAGCCACTGCTGGCCCTGATCGCCGAGTTGCTCTCTGTGTGTGGTGTTGGGATGTCCCTCCTATAGAACTCCTGTGAAGGGCAGTGGTGTGTCTCCTGAGGCTTGAGTCCCTGGGCCCCTGCAGGCATCAAGAACGATTTCATCACAGAAGATTTGTCCAGAGTTTCCTGCTATCATCATTTTTTCCTCTTGATTTTCATTAGGCTTGTAAAAAGCTTATTTTTGAATAGTGAAGTGAGGTTTTGAAGAAAGTCACATTTGCTGAGCAGGAGCCTGGTAGCTGCCTGAATGATGTCTTGATACAGTTGAGCACAGACTTTGCAACAGTTACTATAGCGGGCTTTGCAACAATTGCTATAGCCCGGGTGGCCCTTGACCCTTGAGCATAGGATATTTGACAGCAGCTTGGTTTTTTAACTGAGACTGAATGTGAGACTGAGGGGTGTGACTGGCTTGTGTAACCTGTGGCCAGCACACTCTGAGGTGCCCAGGAACAGAGAAGCAGCTCTGGTCCTGTGTCTGTGGAGTTCAGTATAATAAATTCTTAAGTCTAATAAATCCTCAACAACACAAAAGGTTAAAGCGAGGAAGGATCCCAGGGAGGTCTGTGGGAGTGAGCCTCAGGTAGCTGTTGCAGGTCACCTAGGTGGAGCGCAGAGCAGACAGGTGGCTGGGCTCCACGTAGGCAGCAGGCACATGTGGCCATTGTCTCTCTCGCCTTCCTCCCAGAGAACATCTGAGGTTGTTCTTAGACAAAGAACAGTTCTAAGAACTTAACACTTCTCTTGGGTGAAGTTGAAACAGTCGCTAGGTTGTCACCTTGATCTGTAGTAGGGTTATGTTTCCATAGCTCTCGGTCCATCAGGCGAGAGGAGGAGCCGTCCTCGGTGTACACAGGAAGGAAACCCAGGTTCAGAATCGGGAGCTGCACTGTGAATGCCCTTCGTGTGTGTGTGCCGCTGGCTGGACCATGTCCACAGACATCCCCAGATGGGAAAGTAGGTGCAGTGGTGGGGTACATCTGCTTGTGCAATATTTATGTGAATTTAAAATATTTTGATTAAAAATACACTGATAAGGGCTGGGGTTGTGGCTCGGTGGTAGAGTGCTTGCCTAGCATGTGTGAGGCTTGAGTTCAGTCTTCAGCACCACATAAAAAATAAAGTTATCATTCATCTACAACTAAAAATAAAAAATAAATACACTGATAAGTCACCCTCAGAAACTAAGTATGAATTTGTTGTTTCTGTCATCCATTCATGGAATGACACTGAAGTCCAAAGAGAGGGGAAATGGATGAAATGACCAGGTGACATGAGGTAATTGGTGCGATGGACCATCTCCACGCAGAGGTGGAGATGGTGCTGTGTGGCAGGTGCCTGACCCTCAGCCAGGTTTGTGAGTTGGTGAGAAGCAGAGAGAACCCTTGGTGAAAGGAGAGTGCTCCAGCAGTATCAGCATTGCTGTCTTTGTTACTTTTAGATGCTAGAATTAAAAATCTTGAAGAGGCTATAATAAAACAACTTAAACTGTAACCTCTTCTATTCTAAGATTAGCTCGCCATCTCAGTGTTCTAAACTTAGAGAGGTGTTTAAAATTCCAAACACATTTCAGTCAGTGCACTTAAATAATACCTACAGAATAAAGTCTTGCTTTGGAAATAAGGAAATTTCTTTTTCATCGTGATATAGAGAATTTTGATGGGTTAGTAGATTTTTTTCAGTTAAATAATCATATTCTTTCTTGTTGGCAGCTGCATTATTTAAAAGATCACACAGTTAAAAAAGAAAGACATGTCCAAAACTAGGGAAATGGTCACTTT